CTGTCACATGCTATCCGAGTTTGACGGAAGGATTGATGCAAAATATAATTCTACGCAGATGACTTTATTCTAATAGAAAATGAACTGATATTTCTGTTCGTACCTTTTTCGGGCCAGAATTTTATTTATTTTGTGTTAAAAATGATCCTCCAAAACATCGACAAAATTTTTAAAGGCCAAAAATATACTACGGAAAGCCCTTCAAAGCTCTATAGTTCTCCGCCAATGAAAAGACGGTATTTAGTCATTAATCTTTCCGCGAAGCATTCGCATGCATGGGTGTCAATTAAGAATTCGCACTTTTTTAATTACATTTTCGCATACATTGGCCCCCCGACTTTCGAGAGACCCGAGAGGACGCCAGATCCCGGAGTAATTTCCTCGGAAGGCTAAAAAATCTGTAATTTCTCGGATCTGAGGAAGATTAGCATCACTGATTTGTGAATGAAGGAGGCGGGTGTCATATGGTTTCCGATGTACCAAAGCTTGGAGACTTGAGATTTTACATTTTTGCGCCCTTCGTTTTTCTGTACAATCCACACAGAAATGTGTTTACATATGGACATAACGGTGTTGAGCCAAAAACAAAAATTCACTAAAAATTGCTGAACTATTGGAAAAACGTTGACAAGTGCCCGATTTCACCACACTGCCTCACATTTCCCCCCTTGACAATGGGCGGCCATCTTGGACAATTCCAACCATACACGGGAGGAGAGAATTCAAATACACAGGATAAGATGAGCATTCAAATATACATGATATACAAAAGGCAAAGGCACACAAGAAATCGGTAAAAAAACGGATTTCCATTTGTCAGTTGGTTTTGTAAAGTACTGTACACGGCTTGCAAACTCCAGGAATTTGTTTGCTTAAGTCAAAATACAAGTCATTTACATAGTAGCGGTCATGTGGTGCAAGCAAGGAAAAAACAACAGATGGGAAAAAAAAATAGGACCCACCAGAGGCACCCTCCAACCACCCGCTAGACTTCAGAAACTAGACCAAAACAAAAGCAAATACTTCAAAGGAGGAAACAAAAAGGAAGAAAAATTCAGAGGTCCACTGTGAAATTTTCACACAACAACTCTTTGATGGCGATGTGCGTTCTGGTCATTCAACAATGCTTGAGGGCGTGCCGTTTTGGGGCACTTTAGAAAAGAAGCTTAGCTTCAAGATTCTGACCAATTTTTCAAATCTGTTATCTTTATCTGAAACTTAAAAAGGCAAGAAACAATGAGCATACCCTGAAATATGCACATTCATGTTTCTCATAAATGACACGAAAAGTTGTGTATGATGGCTTGAAATGTGCTGCAACATTGCCTTCGGTTCACTGCTTCTTGGATATATATGTGAGGTCAACTGACAAAATGAGTTACTTCTCGGATTAGAGCCCTACGGAAACAGACACATCCCGCTTATTGGTGAAGTTTTCACAATTTATAAGTATGAAATAATAAAAGGCATGTTATAATTAAAGAATATGGCATCAATAGAAAAATCTACAAATTTGACCCATGAGTCAATTTGTGGCTAATATCTCCATTTGTGGATTGCAAAAAGTAACTCATTTTGTCAGCATGCCTCATATATGTTTGCTTCACTCTTAAAGAGTTAAAACTTAAAGATCCCTTGGTGGTTATAAAATCAAAAAGTGCAGCCATCCAGAAAAAATTCAAAATCAGTTTCAACCCAAAAATCAAAGCCACTCTATTCCTATAAATATTTAGATTACCTTTGAAAATGGTCTGTGGCAGCCTGTCAGGCCAGGGATGATTCTAGTTTCTATGTAGATAACACGGCCCTGAACATAACTGCACGACGAGATGAAGATCTTACAGCCATTGCTCCCTCGGCTCTTGCAGTGGTACTTCAAGAAAATGACAACCCAGAATGCCCACCCACCACTCACTCCTTTAAATTAAGTATGTTTACGGGTGAGGTAGTGCTTGATGAAGCCCACATGGGACGTTCACTGTTAGTTTTAGTTTTAGTAAAGGGTTTTACGGTGGTCGCAACTACATAAGGTCATATTATATGAGTGTCAAGGAGAGGATGTCAATAAAGAAGTGTCCTTACAGGCAATCAGGCTTACTTTGTTCAAATGTCTGGTTTCAACAGCACAAAGTCTGCTTCGACTATCAAGGCACCCGGAAATAGCGGGTGACAAGAGAGTGACAAACATACAATAGAAGTAGAGGAAAATGACGATAGCAGTTCCCAGTTGCAGTTCAGGCACAGTTATGAGCATGACATTGTTTAATCAGCCCATTTACAAAATTCTCCTGTGCATAAGAACAAGTTAATGTCCCCCCTTTTGGAAATGGCCTCAAGACACTTCAGTCAGTGGCACTGCCCCAAGACTGGCACTGTGACCTTCGTTTGGGCATAAAGGCAGGGCCTACGGTGTCCATCTTCGCAACATAAGTTTTTCCAGTGAGTGAAGAGCAGCGGCCATGGCAGAGCGTAATCTCCGAGCATAAGCCTGTGGATAATAACAGGGGGTCATGGCATCACTTTTTGCCCGAATCTGTGCCTTTGAGTTGGTGCGACTCAGCAGCCCGCCACAGCGACCCACCTGAATCGACTTTGCTGGTGTCGTTAAGAAGTGCACATTTTTAGTGATCTTTTGAAACAATATAAATACTTCCACATCCCACAAACCATTACACTGATGTACTGAAAGCTCAATGTTTCAAGACTTATTCTACATTGGAATGGTTATTTTCTGTGCCATGATTTTTATTCTCGAAAAGTGTTTGTAGAATACTCAATTAGTCCTCTTTTTGATTACATACATGCATAAATGGCTATTTAACCATTTAACTCCTGGAAATTTGTCCTGAAGCAAATTTGCCGTAAAAATATTATGTGATCATGAAGTGACATGGTTGATCAGGAAACATCCTGACGAATCTCAATGTTCCCCAAAATATGATTTTTCACTCCCCCCCCCCCCCCACCCAAATTTTCTCAAATGAAGCCTGTACGACATCTGGATCCTTTTCTCATTCACACAGACATTTCCCTAGAAGGCAATGTTTTATTGGAAGCAGGGATGAGAAGCTTCTCAGAACTGTCAGAAAACAAGCTTGAGTCCTGGTCCTCCGTAGGTGATGACGACCCAGGGTCATTCCTCGAACTGCACGAACTGTTATCTGAAGAATCAAACTTAAGTTTTAAATTTTCCAGTGCTATACACTGATCATCGAAGTCCCCCTTCTCTTCTTTCTCTTCTCCGCTGAAGTCTTTCACGCTTCGCAACGACTCTTTCGAGTCTATTGGTGAGACATCCTGACCATTGTTTGTTGATGTGGGACTGCTCCATTTCTCACAACTCGCGTCTGCATACTGATGACAGAATACAATTACATCTCCCGTGGACGATTTACTCTCCAAGTCCGGGCCAGAGAGTTGAGCGTTCGATTCCCCTATACCGAGACCGCTAGTGTCGCCAGTGCCCTGTCCACTGTCGTCACAGATGACTAAAGAATCATCCGGTTCCTTTTTTGGTAGGGGTGGTGGCCCCTTTGGAGGATCAGGAGGAGGTGATTCCTGGAAAAACGTGGACAAAAAAAATGTTTAAATTTATCCTTCAAGAGCTAAGGGCATACAAAAGCGATGATATACACATTCAAAGAGCACACATGAACCAGTTATGCAAAAGATTGCTGAGAAAGCAAAAAATTACTACATAAATAAATGCGAGGCATCATGGTGGGATCAGGCGCTCGTCAATTTTGGGGCATATGGAGTTACTGGTACCATCTTAAAGCCTGTCCATTCGCCTTGCTTTTGATGTACACAATATCCATTTATCTTTGATACAAGTCAAGATATTGGCGATTATAGGAGGTAGGGGTCACCTGATTTCAGAGGTAAAATTAGTGAGAAAATGGCTGCCAAAGTTGTGTTATTTCCTTAGTTAGAGAGTACGTGGAAACTGAAAATTTACATTTTTGCGCCTTTAATCAACATTTTTCTGTAAAATCCACATAGCAAAGTGTTCTTCTTGCTGAGCCAAAAAACAAAAATTCAATAAAAATTCACAAACCTGCGGAATAAGCCAGTTTCTTCCCTTTGATTATTTTGACAAGCGCCTGATTTCACCACGCTGCCTCACAAATGCACTTTTCAATAAGCATTTAAAAAAATCTATGATTCAACTTGGGTTTCTCTCCAACTGGTTGTTTTCTTTCTCCCTCACACCCAAGAGTCTACGTAACAAGATTGGCCACTTCTCTCTTTGAGTCAATTGAAAAAGTGTCCTCAAAATTCGGTGGCGCCCTCTTCACAAAAGCGCACCTTTTGCGAACAGAGTTACCCTACTTGAGTTTAAAAAATCAAAGTGAAACTAGCAAGTTTTTAAATGAATTTCGGAAGAACGCTTTTTTAAAATGGTTACGCTGACAAAAAACCTCTTCCGGAGGAAAGGGTGATTGTTTTCTTCGTTTAATTTGACTTTTGAATGAAAGGCGAGAGGTCATTAAAATAAAAAAAAAACTAAAACTCAACACTGAACGAACCCGAACTGCTGATAAACAGCAGTCGATCTGCGCACGCAAGGAGGTGCTATTCCTATTCTTCTTCTGGTAAAACGAAAGAGAGCTTCAAAACAGACTGCAGCGCCATTTGAAGCAAAGAGCGAACTTCCTGTGGACACTTTTTTGGCTGAGTGGCCCATCTTGTTATGTACTATCTTTGCTTACACATACATAAGTATGCACACATTCTTAGAAAGTTCAGGAGGCTGGTTTCAACCCTGCCTGTCAGGACCGACCCCGGACAAGACGTATACAACATCTCAACAGAAAAATCGAGATACTTGATAAAAATTCCCTGACATGGTTATCGAACTTGGGCCTTCTGCGTGTGACTGTGAAGTGCCTAATGACTACAACAAAGACAATAGTGAGGAATAATATCATGTACCTGATCTTTTCTTATCTTCAAAAGAATGTGTACCAAGCACGTACTCAGAGCACATCGCTGTACGTCAGAGAAAATTGGACAGTGCATTCCCCTCAGGAGGGAGAAAAAACTCAATACCTTTCCCATCAGAAGCATCAGAAAAATTCTTAGACTAATGAGGAGGGTCGAAAAAAACGAAAATTTAATCCAACTCAGATTAAAACCTTGAACATAAGCAGGGTAGACCAAATTTATCACCAACTGCACAGTAATGGTCCGCCTAAGATATTTTCACAGATGAACAGAAATTCTAATTACCAGACTGGATACATTGACCCTCCTTCTTGCACCCTTAAACAAATCCTCTCCAGTAACTTTGCTGAAGGCTCTGCGTCGTTTTATGACGATAATCCTGATAAAGAGAAAACGTTGAAAAAGAAATATTTCAGTATCATACCAAATAAAATAAATATGACGTCAAAAGTTTAAAAAAATGATATGATGCACATTCACGTCCGGACTGGAAAATTTGAGAGGAGTCGGAGGATTTTCTAGCATTATCGTTTTTCTCCTAGATGCAGTTATGAGTTCAGCACAAAAGCGATAACATCATGGACTGGACTTTATTCTGCTTGTGTAAGCACATGTCATGCTGTCCGCGTAGAATTATGCAAATTTAGGAGACCAAATTATGCACCAAAAAAAGCAAAAATTATGCAAAAATTATGCAAGTTACCATAACACCATTCGCGACATGTTTTGCACTTTTTCAACACGAAGTTTCATGATTTTCATGTTTTATGTACAGAAAAATTTAAAACAGAACATATCAGTATCAGTAATTTTTTGTGTATTTGGAAAAGAAAACAATACACATCAGTAAAAAAACAACAAAAAACCCCCCAAAATAATAATCTCTGTCACTTTCAGACATCTGGACCTCTGATGCTGGCACGTCACTAAAACCAGGGACACCTGTCTAACATAAAACATCAGCAGACATGAGAACAACTTTTGATGGATTGAAAAATTGAACATGCTCAAGGAACAAAATCACAACCCATAACCAAGACCTTCTAACATGGGAAATAACAAATTTTTCACTTAAATGAGAGTTATTACGATGATTACGTCCCTTTCAGTCACATGGCGAGGCGTCAATTAATTGTTTTGTGGAAAAAAAAAGGAAAAAACGTGAAAAAACGCGGATTATCCAAAATGATGCAAACAGGGGCGAAGGCTGACTTGTTTGACAGGGTAATCAAAGTAAAACGGGACCAGATATAGATCTATATGGCCTGTAGATATCACATAAGAATCTTTCTCGAGGCGGCGACTCTGGCTGAGTTGTAAATGAAAACAAATCCGGAATTCATATTGTATGTTCAACCGCCAAAATAATCGGGAAAGTATCTTATTAAATATCAGTTCCAACTAAAATTAAATTAACTTTAGATTGAATACATAAACACAAAGCAAAGAAGCAGAGATGTCAGTACTAGATCTATATGTTATAGATCTACCAGAGAGTCTAACTCTTTGGTAGAACATGACAATTATCATTTTTTTAATTTCACATTTGGCTGTTTTTGTTAGCCTTTCGCGGCCAGGAGCTGGTGTCATAATCGAGGTCACGATCTGATTATAGGACAGTAAAAAGTCGAGGAAAAAAAACAAGCACACGCAGCAGTAATGAGATTGTTAGGAGTTAGTTCCCCTCATATTTGTGAGGTAGACTCGACCAGTGTTCGTTAGCTTACTTAATCAGGGCTTGTGATTGATTTTAACTGTGGCCCCAAAGGGGTGAACAGGGTATATGTGGCAATGAAACAGCTTTGACTGCTATGCACATGTTCCCTCAACTGTATTGGTAGACTCTTTCAGCCTCACTTTAAGCTTACTTAATCAAAGCTTGCGACTGATTTTGGAGTGGCCCGAGAGGGGTGAGGAGGCTATTTATGTGGCCGTGAAACCGTTTTGAATGTTAGGCATGCTTATTGTGGATTACGAACCTCTTTTTACTTTTAATTTAAGAGGTTTACGTTTAAGGATGAATTTGACAGCGACAATGTTCCAAAATTAGGAAGGGAAGCAGTGATTATTTGATTATATAGACGCTTCGCCCCTGTATGCAAATATTGTAGAATTACGCGAAAAAACTCGGCCGCAGCCCATAATCCTATGGGGACAGGTCATGGCGCACTGGCAGTGGAATTTTAGTTGCAGCCGGAGGTTCCCCGCCAAGCGCCTTATCACGTTGGGGTCACGGGGGTCAGCTCTCTGTCGCCACTCCGTCTGGGCTGACTTAATTTTTGGTACTTTTCAACGTACAGTTTAAGATGTATCCTTGTATTTATGGTAATTACCATTTAGCGCACCAAAAGCATGCATTTCTGCTCTTGAGACTTTAAAAAATGGACACTGTAACTTGTCTTGTTATTTAGTTAGGCGTGCTAAAGTCGGCAATGCTAAATCAAAAAAAAACTTTAGACAAGTGTGGATGAAAAAAAATTAATTAAAAACAAACGGCACTACAAAATCTGTCGAATTTTTGAAAAATGAATGACATAACATTGGTGTAGACACTCGGAAAAGATGATAGAAAGCTGTAATTTTCCAACTTTATCCATCTGGCACACAATTCGCTATTAAGTAGTTCCTCCAAATACAACTTTATGTGTCGAATATAATTGTGAATATTTGCATATTTTCTCGAAAGTTTATAAAAATTACACTGAAGTCTCAATGAAAAAGTACAAATCGATTTTAGTGAGCATACACGTTTTTGAGGGTGCAAGTTGAGTATGTATGCATGCATGTGTGAGTATTCAAGAGAATGAACGAGTGTGTGTCTGAAAGTGTGAAAGCATTTGTAGGAGCGAAGGGTTGCATGTTTGTAACAGAATGGCCATTTGTTGGTTTCTGGGTTTTTTCAAACAGGCAGGCAATGTGTTATACTTGCCCTCAGAACCAAAAATTGCACACCAATTTTCCAGTTCTCGGACAACATGAGCTCAAGAGTTGTACTTACACACAGATTATTATAACCACAAGGGCCACAACAGCCAACACAGGTGCCAAAGAGGAAAATATTGTTGAGTCACCGCCAGTATCTGAAACAAAAAACCAGGCAAGACACAGATCAATTCAGAGAAACTAAGCAAAAAGATGGGGATAGAGAGGGGAGAAGGAAGAAAGGAACGATTATCTGGAAAGGAAAGACGTCGCCATAATCAGACAGCCACCGGAACAATCAGTATGGATACCTTGCGGGCTTTGGTGCTGGGGGGAACTGAGCACTTATGGACCTGTCCGGTGTGCAATGACGTTGTTACCCAAGACAGGTAATACAGGTAAGCAAAAAGATAACTCCCACTTTAGGACTTTCCACCCACTGAGAGAGCAGAGCATACAACCTTTGTCCCCACGTACCAAGATACAGATGGAGTACATCGGTACTATACCTTATCTCCGCCAAAAATACCCCTATCATTAGGAAATTATAAGCTCATTAAGAAAATTGAACGTGATGATCGCATGTTCACCAAAAACAAAATTAGAATCGGAACTGAAAACATTAGATCGAGCACATTCATCACCCGAATTCTCATCAAGGCTCAGTGTAAAGCAGCACTCCTGCCAGGTCTACTCGACATTTAAAAAAAATTACACTTATTGTTATAAATAAAGTAATTTTCTCCCTCGAAGGCCACAAAACCATTCACAAAGGAAATTATAACTCAAACAAGTGCACACGTCCAAAAGGAGAACATTCCTACTTATAACAATGGTGTTAATCGGCATCTTGGGGGGGGGGGGGGTGTGTGTGTGACAACTTCTTACTGTTACCTATCGGCATCCTGTGGGGGGGGGCAAAGTGTTAATATATATGAAGGGAACAAGGGAAAAAACAAGCGCAAACTTTAAAGACGTAAAACTCTTTTTCTGTCTACATTATTTGAGGATGGACCTGTGAGATTCAGGTTTCAAGCAGAGGTCGAGTGGGTATAAGGCAGGAGACACAGTAGTAAGGTTTAAGGTATTCTGGACACATTCTGGAATACGGCTTGTGTCATCTCCACTATCTGGAGCAATGAGGGTTTCCAAAGGGCTCTGTCTAGATCTGCTCCATCCAACTGGCTGGCATATCTACAGTGACCTTGTCATTCACCACTACCATGTCTCTGTGCATTCCATGTAGCTGTGGCCTTTCACTGGAAACAAGATTTTCACTTTTTTGTACCTTTCCTGATGGACACCTACATGATAGAAAAACCAGACCACCCGCCAGTTCTTGTTTTGGCCTGCGCACGCGCCACATCAGCAGGCAGAATGAGTAGAAAGTAATGTAGACGAGTCACATCAGCAGGCAGAATGAGTAGAAAGTAATGTAGACGAGCCACATCAGCAGGCAGAATGAGTAGAAAGTAATGTAGACGAGTCACATCAGCGGGCAGAATGAGTAGAAAGTAATGTAGACGAGTCAAATCAGCAGGCAGAATGAGTAGAAAGTAATGTAGACGAGTCAAATCAGCAGGCAGAATGAGTAGAAAGTAATGCAGACGAGTCACATCAGCAGGCAGAATGAGTAGAAAGTAATGTAGACCAGTCACATCAGCAGGCAGAATGAGTAGAAAGTAATGTAGACGAGTCACATCAGCAGGCAGAATGAGTAGAAAGTAATGTAGGCGAGTCACATCAGCAGGCAGAATGAGTAGAAAGTAAAGTAGACGAGTCACATCAGCAGGCAGAATGAGTAGAAAGTAATGTAGACGAGTCACATCAGCGGGCAGAATGAGTAGAAAGTAATGTAGACGAGTCACATCAGCGGGCTGAATGAGTAGAAAGTAATGTAGACGAGTCACATCAGCGGGCAGAATGAGTAGAAAGTAATGTAGACGAGTCACATCAGCAGGCAGAATGAGTAGAAAGTAATGTAGACGAGTCACATCAGCAGGCAGAATGAGTAGAAAGTAATGTAGACCAGTCACATCAGCAGGCAGAATGAGTAGAAAGTAATGTAGACGAGTCACATCAGCAGGCAGAATGAGTAGAAAGTCATGTAGACGAGTCACATCAGCAGGCAGAATGAGTAGAAAGTAATGTAGACGAGTCACATCAGCAGGCAGAATGAGTAGAAAGTAATGTAGACGAGTCACATCAGCAGGCAGAATGAGTAGAAAGTAATGTAGACGAGTCACATCAGCAGGCAGAATGAGTAGAAAGTCATGTAGACAAGTCACATCAGCAGGCAGAATGAGTAGAAAGTCATGTAGACGAGTCACATCAGCAGGCAGAATGAGTAGAAAGTAATGTAGACGAGTCACATCAGCAGGCAGAATGAGTAGAAAATAATGTAGCGGCATGCAGGCCACATCGTCTCCACCCTTTTTGCTGACTGTCTCGTAACAGCAAAGGTGAACTGTTTCCTCACTTAGAGAGTAGATTTTATAGGAGAAGAGAGATATCAGCCAACGATTGCACAAATCGTTTGCTGAGATGTTTGGGTAGCCCAAGTTCTTCGAAAAATCAGTTTAGTGCAACATGGGAGCTCAATGAATGATTTTCCCGTTTAACAGCGCATACAAGACCAGTGCGGGGGTTTGAGCCTCAGCTCCGTCCGACGTTGTGTCCTTTGGTAAGGCACTTTACATGAAATTCCTATTTGGCTCGGTCCTTTCGGGGATGGACGTTAAATTCATAGGTCTTGCCTCTTAAATAACCTAGTAGTCCTCACAAGGGTGTTAAACCTATACCAAATCAACAATTTTCACTGAAATATGGTCACTGAAATATGGTCACTGATTGGTCACAAGGGGCGCAACAAAGAAAAGTATGCTTGACATTGCTGGTTCTTCCATTGTTAACATCCTGACATCGCTGGTTCTTCCATTGTTAACATCCTGACATCGCTGGTTCTTCCATTGTTAACATCCTGACATCGCTGGTTCTTCCATTGTTAACATCCTGACATCGCTGGTTCTTCCATTGTTAACATCCTGACATCGCTGGTTCTTCCATTGTTAACATCCTGACATCGCTGGTTCTTCCATTGTTAACATCCTGACATCGCTGGTTTTTCCATTGTTAACATCCTGACATTGCTGGTTTTTGCATTGTTAACATCCTGACATTGCTGGTTTTTGCATTGTTAACATCCTGACATCGCTGGTTTTTCCATTGTTAACATCCTGACATCGCTGGTTCTTCCATTGTTAACATCCTGACATCGCTGGTTCTTCCATTGTTAACATCCTGACATCGCTGGTTCTTCCATTGTTAACATCCTGACATCGCTGGTTCTTCCATTGTTAATATCCTGACATCGCTGGTTCTTCCATTGTTAACATCCTGACATCGCTGGTTCTTCCATTGTTAACATCCTGACATCGCTGGTTCTTCCATTGTTAACATCCTGACATCGCTGGTTCTTCCATTGTTAACATCCTGACATCGCTGGTTCTTCCAATGTGGGCCAAATTTTCTAACCCTCACAGAGACGGACAGAGCTCACTTTTTTGTATGTGACTTCGACAGACTAAAGCAGACCCAGCCAAGCATCATGCTGGGACAATACCCCCCCCAAAAACAAAACTAACATCGCTGGTTTTTCCCTTGTGCCCTTCATATACGTGAGGCATCGTGGTGAAATCAGGTGCTTGTTTGTAAATTTTTATCGAATTTTGTTTTTTTCGGCTTAACACCTTTCGTGCCCATTAGAGAACATGTTTCTGTGTGAATTTTACTGAGAAGCATCGATTAAAGGGGGAAAAAAATGTAAATTTTCAGTTTCTACAGATTCACCAGTTAAGGAAATAACTTATCTTTGACAGTCATTTTCTCACTAATTTTACATTTGAAACCAGGTGACCCCCACCTCTTTCATTCACAAATATCTCGACTTGTATTCAAGATAAATTCATATTTGTTTTCATCCAAGGCAAAACAAATGAACAAGCTTTAGGATGATACCAATCATTCTACATCCCCCCAAATTGACAAGAGCAAATTGCACACGGGCCCTCCGAGATTTTTCGCCCTTGTCCGAGAAGGCTAGGTGTAGATCTTTCCTACCAGAAGATCAGGGGTGTGGCCGAAAGACAGCTGTAAGAAGAAGCGAAGGAGTAGCAGTAGAAAGGCTGCAGAAAGAATCAGGAGCCCAGAGGAAGGGGCAAAGGAGGTGAGGGGGTGGGGGCAGAAAGAGGAGACAAAAGCAGACGACAGAACATTGCTAGAGAACAGGAAATGAGGTGAAAGGAGACAAATTTAGAGAAGAAAATTTTTCGGTCACTACGCGGATTCGAACCCGGGACATTTTGGGCGAGAGGCCAACACCTTAACCTCTAGGCCGTGAGAGTCCCTGATTCCAGCGTGTCGTGACACATATTTATATACACTGAACAGTACCATGGAACACAAACCCATTGCTGTTTTTCTTTTGATGCTGAATGTCCTGGCAACAGCACAAACAGGCAAAGCCTGCTGCTGATGGCTCGGTATCTCTGATGTTGAGTTAAATGTACCATCTTCTTCGGTGACAATGATCAAATGTTATTGCGGATTTCGGGAAATAAAGACCTAAACCTAATTCTTATTTTTTTAAATATTATTTTTAAAAATCCCGCCATTCAGAAAAAAATATCAATTTTCTATATTTAGACTTTGGTGCGGTGAACACTGATTCAAACCCCAAAATGTTATTTTTAGAACATGACCTACTCTTTAAAGTATTTTGTGGTACTCACATGACAGGGAAAGCCTAAGAATTTTTACACAATCAAAAAATGGTACCTTGTTTTATTGTCAGTATAATAATAATAATAATAATTTTTAAAAACAATAGTAATAATAATAATAATAATATTTTAAATAATAATAATAATAATAATAATAATTTAAATAAAAATAATAATAATGAAAATAATGGTTGCATTTATATAGCACACATCCGCGCTCTACAGCGTGCTCTCCATGATCTTCAACTAGAATTACCCACAGCAGACCCTAGAACACGACTTTGGAACATTCTCAGCTTTCCTGGAAGCATACAGTCAGGGTTGCCAGCAGGCTCTGACAAAAAAGCCTGAAAATTTGTTGGTATAAAATTCTACGCACGCGCGAGGCATTTCATTAAAAACAGATAAGATATTATCATGTGCCAAAATATTAAATCGAAAAACCTAAATATGACAAAAATAGAACTAACTAATAACTGCATATTTTGATGTGTAATGGAAGGGGGAAGGTTTTGCTGTAAAAAAATTAATTTCTCCTTTTGGAGGAGGTGACAGCCAGTGTGCACTGCTCCCTCTCTCAATACTAGGCACCTAGTTTATGACTCTTTTTCTTTTGTTTATTCTCATTTTTTATATACTAGGCACCTAGTTTATGACTCTTTTTCTTTTGTTTATTCTCATTTTTTATATACTAGGCACCTAGTTTATGACTCTTTTTCTTTTGTTTATTCTCATTTTTTATATACTAGGCACCTAGTTTATGACTCTTTTTCTTTTGTTTATTCTCATTTTTTATATACTAGGCACCTAGTTTATGACTCTTTTTCTTTTGTTTATTCTCATTTTTTATATACTAGGCACCTAGTTTATGACTCTTTTTCTTTTGTTTATTCTCATTTTTTATATACTAGGCACCTAGTTTATGACTCTTTTTCTTTTGTTTATTCTCATTTTTTATATACTAGGCACCTAGTTTATGACTCTTTTTCTTTTGTTTATTCTCATTTTTTATATACTAGGCACCTATTTATTCGTTTTTACTTTAAAAACAAATAATGCCCAGACCCAACTGGAAATGCACTAGAGTTCAACAACCCGTTCTGGTCTTCCTTCCGGCCTAGCCGGTGTCGGGTCACAATTTGCCGATGAGGCAGGAAATTTTTTTCTCAATAAAAGCCGCGAAAGCCGGAGGATTTTAAAAAGCCGGATTTCAGCTTTAGAAACTGGCAACCCTGATACAGTGCACGCTGGGGATTATACCCACGTAAACATTAACCAACCGACAACATCTATCACTGTCTATAGCTGCGTATCCATTACCACCTGGGTGAAGAGAGGAAAGTTTGTATGTGTAAAGTGCCCTTTCCAAGAACACAACGTCAAGCCCTTAACAAGATTCGAGCCAATCACTTAACGGTTGAGAGTCTGAGAACCTTACTACTGGACCATTAACACCCCCCCCCCCCCCAACTATTCAAACTCTCTTTATCTCCCTTCATCCCTCTCTCTTTCTCTCCCTTTCTCTGTCTTAGAACAACCAAAACATACACAACCTAGAAAAGAGCTTCACCTGAAAAAGCATTTGGGACAAACTGTGGTGCCAATGTGGACCACCACTCTCTGTATCCAGGCAACGCTCCACAGATGGCCTGGACGCAGAGGAACATTCCAGTCTCCTCCAGCCTCACCTTAGTAGTGGTAAGAGGACTGTTCTCCAAAGAATACAGCTGCTTCAGGCCTGCAGAACACCAACAAGAGTATAATCTTATTGTTGGATAAAGAATCCTGAAAGCAATGATTGCCAAATGCTTTAGATTTAGTTTTAGTAAAAATGTTACAGCACTTACAATGCAATAAGGTCACATAAGTGCTAAAGGTTAGAGATGCTACAAGAGAAAAGCAAACACGAAAAAGAACGAGGACAGATAATGACGAAAGATGCTTGAAAGGAAAGGAGTAAACCACACCAGAGCAGCAGCCAACCACCCACATTTGTCGAATGTTTTGTCTCCATCAACACAGTCTGAATCATTTAGGGGGCGAGCTGCCTTGACTCTGCCTGTCAGGACCAACCTGAGCTGAATGGTATAACAGCAGCCCAGCCGACAAAATGAGGTACTCCATAACCATTTCACCACTCAGGAAACAAACTTATACCTTCTGCACGCAAAAGAGAGCTGAGCAACATGTAGTAAGAATACAAGCCGTTCCTTGATTTATTGACTTCTTCTTCTTCTTCTCGATCGCATCACACTTGAAGTCTGGTATCTGTCATAAATTGGGCCGTCCTGCTCACTCCATCTGTCGGCCCGTAAAGCTTCTCTTGTAGCGTCAGTGGGGTTGGCCACGTTTCCTGTCTCAGGGCCCTGTGTGTCTTGCAGTGCTGAAGGATGTGTTCAACAGTTTGGTCCGCCTCTCCACACTGGCATTTTGGTGATTGTACTAGTTTAAAACATGTGTACATATGTTGTCTCAGTCTTGTGTGTCTTGACGATAGTTAATGTTTTCCATCCACCCATATACATCAAATGATTAACCCTTTGAGCTTTTCCTTCTGAGCCTACAAGAACCATGCATCAGAGTTCCTCCACATAAAATTACCCTACAATAGCTTGAGAAATATGTTTGGAGTGCAGAAGTGTAAAGGTAGCCCATACTAAAGCATGCACTTAATTCTGTGGGATTCATTTAGGGCCGTTACAATCCTGCCTTTCAGGGCCAGCCACCAGGAAGTGGGAAATAGCATCCCAGCACAAAAGACGGAGATACACAACACAATAAACATCCTCACAGGGGAATCAAACTCGAGTCTTTCACCTGCACAGGCAAAAGGCCCAACCATTACACCACAGTTGATGGTAATACCGAGTGAACATTGCAGGAAATTTGGTCAAATAGTACCAATAATAATAACTACATTTATATAATGTATATCTTCACCCTGCAGCATGCTCTACGCGCTTTCAAACTATTATTACCACAGCAGACCCTAGAAATAATAATAAATAAATAAATAGCATTTGTACAGCCCATGTCCCCACTCGAAAGCAAGCTCGATGCGCTTTACACTATATCATTACCCCAGCAGACCATAGAACACTCACAGCATCCTCGGATTCTTGGGAAGCACACAATACAAGCTGCAGATTTCATGTGGTCAAACACTAACAAACTAACCTGATCTTTAACCGTCTATAGCCGGGTATCCATTCCAATCTGGGTAAAGTGAGGGAAATTTTATAAAGAGCCTTTCCCAAGGACACAACATCGGGTCCCTGATGGGATTCAAACCCATAATCGTACGGTTGCAAGCCTGACAGCCCCACCACTAGACCACCGACACTATAACATAGCAAATCTACACTAGACATATTTGATTCATCTAAGGCCAGCCATGCCTTCCCTCATGGAAGGAGCTGGCATTTTGGAAAAATTTTATCAAACGCTCCAATAATCTAACATTCTAACATGTTTGACTATCTAGGTCACCATTAGATACAACTGATGAAAACTGATGGGTGGTTGGCGGGTGCTCTGGTGTGGTTTGCTTCTTCTGTCTTATCAAACATCTATTTTCCTTATCTCCTCTTCTTCTTTTTTTATGTTTGTTACTCTCTTGTAACACCTCTAATCTTCTGGCGCTCATATGACCTTATGCAGTTACGAGTGCCGTAAAACTCTTACTAAAACTAAAACTAAACTAAACTAAAACAACCTGTCAAAAGGCTATTCCACATTGCAGGGACAGATCCTTTGCTTACATCCAGAATGCAACAGACCCTACTGGATTTCCTGGTCAAATTAAATGATGCAAAGCAGAGGTTAATTTGCTATTGTTCCCACTCGCCAATAGAACCCCCCCCCCCCCCCCTCCTTTCCCCCCAAACATGTATTAAACCATATCAAAGATTTGACGAAACATTCAGCACTGGGCACCGAGTTTATGGCACACCGGTGGTTTAGTGAGAAATGGATTCAGACTCAAAAGTAATGTCAAGCAAGAGCCACCCACACAGGGTTGAAGTGGGCAGTCACTGGGGTGTGTCCTTAAGCAGAATACAACAACCTTTGCTAACAAAAACCCCAAAAACAGGGCGTTGCACAGTGGCGACAGCAGTGGCAAGGTTGTGAAAATGTTCTGTATGGGTGTAATATCGTGTAGTAGTAGTAGTAGTACAGGGTTTTACGGCGCTCGCAGCTGCGTAAGGTCATATTATGAGTGCGCGAAACACAAGTTGGTAGCATTCACAATATTGTGTATGTGTTTGTGCATGTATGTATTCATAATTATGTATTTATGTACGTACTTATGTATGCCATTGTAAACCAAATTGCTGTTCCGGAGGGATCAGTAAAAATGTAATTTATTTACCATGATCACATCGCTCGTCTGGTGACTTGAAAACTAGAAACCTGGAGACCAGACATTGCCGGGGCTGATCAGGGTGGCAGTCCTGAGAGATGTAGAGATACGGCACTTTCTCCTCGGTTGGCACACTGATCCTTAGGGTGACGTCGTCTGGCACAGGGAACAGGTCCGTTGGTCAGGTTTCAATAAAAGTCATGTGCAGAACCATAACATAATCACAAGTGGAAACATGAAAATTTATGTGCAGAAAGATGATAAATCAGGTGCAGAAACATGACAAGTCATGAGCATAACCATAATATAAATCATGCAAAAAACATAGCAAACCAAGTGAAGAAACAGGATATGTTGTGTAAAGAAACATGATATGTTGTGTAAAGAAACATGATATGTTGTGTAAAGAAACATGACAAGTCATGAGCAGAAATATGACAAATCACAGGCAGAAACAGAACATTAGAAACAGGACATGAACAGAGCCAGAGTAAATCACAAGGAGGAGAAAGATAAACTAAGAGTAGAAACATATAATCACACGAAGAAACATGACAAAACGCTTGATTAAACACGATAAATAAACCAGTAGAAACGCGATAAAGCATGAGTGTAGATTAAAAAGGAGCAGAAATATGAAAAATCATGAGCAGGAATATATATTTAGTTGAGGTTTTACAGCACTCGCAACTGCATACGGTCATATGAGCGCAAAGGGGTGGATGTCAACAGAGAAGTTTTTAAAGGGAATCAGGCTTACTCTGCTCACCCCTCTAGCCTCAACAGCACAAAGTCTGTTCCGACTTTCAGGGCACCTCAGAAATAGCGGGTCACAAGAGAGTGACAAACATACAAAAGAGGCAGAGGAAAAATGACAATAGTGAGGAATAGGAAAGAAAAAGCAGCAGTTCCCTTTTGTAGATCAGGCACAGTTATGAGCGTGACATTGATGAATAAGCCCATTTACAATTCTACAGGGCATGAACGAGAAATGTCCCCCCCTTTGGGAATGGCCTAAAGACACTTCGGTCAGTGGCACCACACCCCAGGGGGAAGAGCAGAAATATGATATACGACTAATATAAACATCAGTTCACTAGCTAAAAACCATAAGCAACCAAACAACCAGCCGACCAACCAACTAAACAGTGAAACTAACAGCTACTTAACCAACAAGTTTAGAAAAAACCCAATAAAGTAACTGAAAAATTACCAATGAAGGAAAAAAAACCAACAAACAATAAACAAACAACGAGCTAACAGTAAAACCAAACACACCATAAGTGAATCAACCGACAAAATATCAAAACAAAATTGAGACAACTGAGGAAATGTTGAACTAAACAACCACGGGAGCAACTGAGGATTCTTTTAGACACCTGAATTCTGCATGTCACCTTGCTTGCTAGTATATATCTGATGAATCTGACGAGTTTTTTTCCTGGTGAGAGGAAGCAAACTTTGATTTTGCCTTTCAGTAAAGGGGAATGCATCAAGAAAAAGTTGAGCAAAACAAAGACGCAGAGAAAAGAAAGGAAGCAAAAAGAAGAAGGAATTACATGTGGCATCCTTCAGCAGCCCGTGAGACAGGTGGCAATTTCTATACATCATAAAAGCATGAAGATAAGATAAGATAAGATACATCTTTATTGTCCAGATCCTGGCACATTGGTTTGGTGTTCCACCATGTGTACACACACACATGCACACACAAGTAGGCTTACAACCACATGCATAATATAAATGAGCAGCAATATAAACAATAATAATCGTAAGCTAGATACACACTCAATGTTATTTTGATGCATGCTCTAAGGTCGTAAGTATACTTATACAAGATGGTTAAGATGGAAGCATTTTGATAGATGATGGTAAAAATGACCTTCTGTATCTTTCTTTGTTACAGATCAGAAGCCTAGGCCTTTTACTTCTGACAGATGTTTTTATTTGAGGGAACAAGGGATGTTTGTTGTCTAAAAAGATGGAATCAATTTTCTTAGTACAAGCTGTTATGTACAATTCATCCAAGTAGGGGAATGAAAATGTTGAAATTTTACATGCAATAGGAATAGATGTTGTGCACTTGTTCTTTTTCAGAATACAAGCGTATACGAGTATGTATTTGAAAGAATTGTTGTATCTTCTTTTTTATTTTGAAGAGCCTTGAGTGGGCATAATAGAAGTGATCTTTATTATTACTATTGTCATTGCATATCCCAAGTATTTCTGTTTGGAGTAAAGAGACGCACGTCTCCATGATGACAGTCATTAAATGCTGGGAAAACAGAAGACAGAATTCTGTGAAAATGTTCATCAGCGCTTGGGTTCCACAACCCGGTAAGTATAATATTATGCATTACCCACTCATATCTTAAGCCCAGAGGGTCAGCTATCCTGACTCACAGCTCCACTTGTGAACAAGAAGCATACTAGAAACTGAAAGGCGACTGTAATCACTTTAACTCTTAATCTCTGGCAAGCCGCTCCCAGCGGCTCGGGCACATTCCTTTAAGACGGCTTCGACATCAAATTACTTTTCGGCAATTGCCGAAAACAGTTCTCTTATACCAGAAGTTCATTCATTAAATGAAGAACTATCAAAATGGGTTTGCTAGTTTTGATTTAACGACCCATTTAATTTAATGACATTTTGGTCATTTTTCGATTTAGCACCAACAAAGGGCCCCGGTGTAGTGGGTTTACCCCCCCTCGGAGATAAAGAGTTAATGAGTAAGTAACAGACGCTGACTTTATGCCGTGGACAAGGGCTGAACAAAAGACATGAGATGGAAAAATCATGAACCTTTTTTGGTCTGTAGTTTCAGAAATAACTTCAGATATGCATAGGTGAAACAATTGTGTAAACTCATGAAAAATGAATTTCCCAAGAGAGAAAAAACAATTTTTAAAAAATTTATTTTATTTTACTTTATTTTAATTTTTC